GTTTGTATGTATGTGTGTGTATGTGTGGCTATGTCTGGTTGTGTGTCGGTAGGTATGCATATTTCGGGTGTATTTGTATATATGTGAATATATCATCATCTCTTGCACCTAAAAGAGTGGGCCATCAAAAAGGCTCTAGAATCTCATGCTCTGCTGTTCCTTATATACATTACACCCTTGCCGGACACGTTTAGGGTTTAGGGTATTTACTTCTGCTGATCTGACCGTCTCTCCACTATAGGTCTCGGTTGCTCACTCTGATGTACAAAGACGAGCGCTGCCACCGTCGACAGGAACACGACATATTGAGGTATGAGTCATCACTGTTGCTCGAGTGCTATTATCAATCGATACAAGACACACTCTACGCATTCAGTAGTTGGTGTGTGATATATGCACGACATATGGAGGTATGAGTCATCACTGTTGCTTGAGTGCTACTATCATCTGATACAACACACACTCTACGTCGTGTGTGATGTATGCACGACCTATGGAGGTATGGGTCATCACTGTTGCTTGAGTGCTATTGCCATCTCATAGGACCCACACTCCACCCATCCAAGTGGTTGGTGTGCTACATTCACCACACACCCTGTATGCTTACACCTGCACATGGACCCACACTCCACCTGTCCAGGTGATTGGTGTGCTACATTCGCCCCACACCCTGTATGCTTACACCTGTACTACCCATCTCGGCGATAGGAAGCTCTATCTGGAACAGATCATCCGCCCGCACGAACTGGCGGGTGTACAAGACGGGTTAGCGGATCATCAGAAGCAACTATACCACAACCCCAACACACAGAACACCGACAGCTGTCTGACGCTCCTGCAACGCGCCAATATCGAGCACAATGTGGTGGCAACAAGTCACATCTACGCTAATATGGGCATGCAGCAATTGGGCGGACTTTTGGGGGTGGATGCTGACGTGGTAGGTGTACAGAGAGAGGTGGTGGGCCAGGGGTTGTGGTTGTGGTTGTGGTTGTGGTTGTGGTTTTTGTTGTGTGTTTGTGGTTGAGTATCTGTATTTGTGTGTTTGTGGTTCCGTGCTTGATGTTGTGTGTTTGTGGTTGTATGAAAAGTAGGTATCAAGCAAGTACTAAGCAAGTATTAAGCAAGTATCAAGCAAGTATTAAGCAAGTATTAAGCATGTACTTTACATCGTTCTACATCTCACTTCTCCCCTTACCTTTTGACACACCACGTACGTCTGATATCTGTCAGGCGGAGAGACTGGCGGCGCAAATGATCCAAGAAGGTCGCTTAAACGGCTGCATTGATCAGATTGACAACTTCATTGAGTTTGACACAGGTGAGTGTTGGGTCAATGTCTATTCTTCCTACACACACACACACACACACACACACACACACAC